AAGGGGTCCAGGTCCCCGTCCAAACTTGCACTCTAAGCCCCCACACCTGAGTCCCGAACTCAGTGTGGTGCTTAGACCTCCACTATCCCTATCTCCAATCAGTCGGTCCGGAAAAAGCCAGAACCCATGACAAGAGAGCAACAAGCATTCCCTGCTCCCATAAACAAGTATGTGCCCAGGATAATAAATCTGTAACCTGACTAGAATCCAATGTAACGGACGGTCCTTAACCGACATAGGCGGAACAAGCGCAATTAGAGCCTCGCTCGAATGCCAAACCAAGTCCAAATCCAAAGTACCATTCCACCCGGTCTCCAATTATCATTCAAATATATTTTCCAGGTGATAATAATATAATATCAATAATAATACTTTCCTATCTCTCACGAGTGACAGGCAATCACTCGACTTCTACCGAAGTCATGTAGCAGAGCAATCTACATGATTCTATCATACTAGTAGGACTCATAGGATAATGATATATATATGCAAGTGGTTTCATTCAACTCCTTAAACTTAATGCACAAGCATAAATTAAAGTGCAGAATAATAGGGGTTATGCACCGGGACTTGCCTAGGGAAGATATAACCAAAAGTTAGCATTCCATCGTGGCAACATGATCACCAAGGCACCATCTTTTCTGCTACTCTAGTCGTCTCCATGATCCATCGTTGGTCCTATTATGATATACGTGGATGCAACACATAGATATAAATAATCAACGACAACCGAAACTCTTAGAAATTCAATTACGCCTCGCAAGCTAATGAGATAGCTCTAACACGCTAGGCTACGTATCTAAGTTGTCGAACTAGGCGCTAATTTTCCACAATATTTTAGTTATACAAACCCAAGTTGTTTCTCTATTAATTAAATACTTATATATTTGAACTAGGGCTCATTTAATTACCTTAACAACTAATTTCTGTGGAGCTACAAAAATTACAGTGAGCACCTAATATTGCTAGAAATCTACTGTAAAAATTTCAGAGCCAACACTATCACTAATTTATCACAACAATTCCTACAAGTTTATGTTTTAACAATATTTAGTATCTCAATTTAATTATATAACTCCTAAGAATATTATAAAACTATGTGAACAAAATATACTAGCAGATAGATCATGATTTTAGGAGTCCAACAAAATTAGTCTCACTATTTTTGGACATCTACACAAATTTATCTTGAATTTACAAGTTTGCCTTAGAAACTAATTTGGAAAATGCTTTTGAAAAAGAAAAGGCCGGTGGCCAACTATTTGGTCCAAGAACTAAAATGGCTCTCATGACAGGGGAGCCCACGCAGCGTAGTGGCAGAGCCACCGACCAGTTCAAGCCAGCTGCTTAACGCTCCAAAGATATCTTGCAAAAGAGCCCCCGACCTAGCGAAGTTATTACACACTGAGCACTTGCACACTATTCAAAGAAGAGACGCGCTTTGTAGCTAAGCCCCCGAACTATCTCATCCTCACCACGAGATGGTCCCTAGTAGCCTGCACACGACGGCATGACTCTGGTCGGTGCAGCGCGCATACATTGACCACAGGAATGAAACACCAATCCCACAATCGAGCCGACGAGCGCCGTAGAGCCAAGACAAAACCCTGGGCGGAGATTAGGAGTTAAACGGTGACTTCTACAGTGCTACCCACGGTGGCGGCCCAACCGCCACGGTGGCGCAAGTGGGCTGGCAAGCTAACGCAATCAACGGACTAAAAGTGGGCGATTGAGCATCAGCAGCTTACAACGAACATGATCGAGGTGGTGGTGAATTTGGAGATGGCCCCCGCAGCGCTGGCCACATGCGAGCTGATGGGGCGGCGGTGCTCAGGGCGAACACCGACGCGTCAGCTCACCACCGGCGGCATCCCAGGCGGAGCTAAGGCGAGCACCGACACAAGAGTATCAAAATGAGCCTATATCCGGATTGAATCGAACTAAAACCAAGCATAATGCCTTACCCCCACACGTGCCATCCCACGGCGACGGGATGACCGGCGGCGAGGAAAACCCAAAATTGACCACCAAAAGACCATGGCTGAGCTTGACGAGAATGGGACATCCAGCTAACTTCCTATTCTACTCACAGACGCGAGGAATTGGACTTGAAAGCTTTGAGCTAAGAGAATCAAGGGACGGAGAGGCGGCGGTCAAGCGCACGGGCGGCCGTGGAGCGTGCGCACGAGCGAGCCGAGCAAGTTAAGGCGGGGCAGCTCCAACCAGTGGGGACAGTGCGAGTACTTACGCCTCGGTAACGCGATGTGGGTGCTTAGCGCAATGCGTTAGTGCTATAGCAGCCAAGCTCGATCGGTCATGTCGGTGCCGGCTAGCGGGGACAGGCAAGGCAGAGGGTATCACCCTCGCCACAGCGACTGGGGCCATCAACTCAGATACGACGAGCAGAAGGCATGCCGGGTCACGACGTGGTAGCTGGATTGAGCGACAAGGCGGGCACCACGTCGACCACACGGTAGCCGCCGCGTCACCGACCTGGCTCGCGCTCATCGTGGCCGATTGCGCACTCACGACGGCCACGCAATAGCAGCCCAGGGGGCTAGCCCGGCCCTGCGAAACGCGACCACGGCCAGCCTAGCTCAGCGCGCGGTAGGCAGCCAACAAGACCGGTCCACGACGCGGCCATGGCCGTGAACGGCCAGGCAACAGCAGGGCACGGTGACCGCGCCCACAGAGCCAAACGGCCGAACGATGCGTTTGCACGAATTTTGAAGCGACGCCAAGGCTGCCAAACAATGCGGCTAAGGGTCAACCAACCTCACTAACCTAAGGTCCACGCCACCAGCTATCAAGCGAAGCAATCGGCGTGACCAACAAATGACTAGGGGGAAAGATACAAGTATGCCAAGATGAGTTCGTCGCCCTGAACCCCAGTTCACGAACGGAGTGCTAACGACATGGTTGCAACGCGTTCTATTGAAGTTCGACAACTGTCAAGTGAACATCGTCTGCACCACGTTCAAGTACTCACCTTGATGCAACCAATCATACAGAAGCATAGATATATTGCTTAATCCGTTTTTGTTGAAATCTAAGTGCCAAAACGGCATTGTCTATCATCGTTTCAGACAGAGAGAATAAGAACTTAGCTAGAACTAACAACCTTTAGCGCTTTTACTGTAATTTTTAATATGCCTAAACCTAATTAATTCCAACCACTACACATTTCACACACTAGTCCGTACGGTCATACTAACTCGTAGAAACAAAACATCTAGGAACTACTTAACTAGTTGTTCAATATAATTCGCCAAAAATGATACTTTTAACACCACTTCAAATTTTTGCCGATTCAATAAAAAGGGCTAATTTTAATTTTCAATTTGATTTTTGAGCTTCCAAGAACACTAATTAACAACCTTTGTTTCCCAAAAGTTAATGTTGTATTTCCATCTACAAAACTTGTACTTCAATTTTTATTTAAGTACTAAATACAAGTTATGTTTTATTATTGTTTATAGAAATCGCTTTTCGTGCCGAACAATTAAAACTACTTTTCTTATTTTCTTGTTAGAATTTTCATTATCGCATTTGATTAAACTAACTCACTATACTTATAGATCTATTTCTCAGACCATAATCTCAGTGCTTAGCGAGCTCGTAACACCGGAGGTGTTACACCCCCATGACATACTTTTCGCACATGTTGTTCAATTTTCCCAAGTGCAGTAAGATTGAGAGCTGAGATGAGGAGTTGGACTGAGCATTTTTTTTTCAATCCTACCAAAAAACCAAGATTGGGAGTGAGTTTTGAGAACTATTAGAGATGCTCCAAGGAATCATTTTTATCCTTTTTTTAGAAAAATAACTAGGAGCTTTGGTAGGGTTTTAAAAAAGGTTTGCCTTCCGTTTCTCAAGAAGCAAATGAGGTGCCAGAAAAAAACAGCTCACTCCTGAAGCTACTAAGGAGCCGGAGTCCTCTTTGAACTAGGAGCTAGAGTCGGAGCTAAAACTTTTAGCTTCATTCTGCCAGCTTCTTCTCTTAAAAATTATTGTATGAAGGTGTTTTACCAAATAATTTTTTTAAAATATTTCAACTTCATTAGACAAACTACTCATCTACCGTCATTTTTGGAGGAATGGGACTCCCTTGTTACAAAAAATCAGATTTTAGAATCTTCAACTTTTAAAACCGTTCGATTAATCTTTTTATATGACTTTGAAAGCAATATTAACTCACGTAGCGCCACATCAACCATCTTACATAGCACCACGTCAGCCACGAGAAAGGTAAAATTGAGCTTTGAGGACAGTAAAGGAAGATCAACTAAGCTTTATCAAAAAAAATTAAAGAAATATTTTTTTCACAAAAATTATCCAAATATTTTTCTAGAAAAACATGGATTTTAAAATATAAAATCTGATTTAACTTTTGAAAATTCATAGATAATTTGTTTTAACTAAAAAAAAACAGTTTATTTTTTTTCTAAAATCATGCTCTTTTCTTTCTTTCTTAGAATTATTTTAATTTTATATTGTTCTTCTAAAATCTAAAACTAGGCCAAACAAAGTTCTGGCTTATTATTGGTTCCTGCTCCTCCGGGGACGCCGGGACGGTTTACAGCCATTCGAAATGGGGCCTCGGTGCTCCGTCGTCTCATTTGTTTTCTTGGAAGGGAGACAGACAGATTGTACTGTCTGTAGCTGTAGGCCATCCGTGATCGCCTGCACGCTGCCGGCCATACCACACACGTAGGGTTGGCAGGAGCAGGTGACTGTGCTCGCATTGGAATGACCAATGAGCGAGAGCACGACGGCACTTGCCGGCCATAGCTGAGTACCAGTGCACGGCCTGCAGGCGGCAGCTGGATCGATCACACACACTAGCTCACCAACAACACTGACCGAATCAAATCTCTTCACCTTAGACCCTACCAGTCACAAGTCAGATAGTCTTCTGTTCTCTACTCCTATTCCTATATATGCGTTGGAAATCCATGTCAGTGCATGCATCTTCATCGACTAACCTCCTACCGTCAGTCATGGCTTCTCTCAGCCTGTTGATCGCTGCTGCGGCGCTCGTTGTCGTCGCGGCCTCCACGGCAGCAACGGCGGCGGCGCCGAGCTGGGCACCACCGTCGTCGCCGCGCCCTCTGTTCCGTGAGTACATCGGCGCGGAGGGCCAGAACGTGACGTTCGCGGACGTGCCGGTGCACCCGGGCGTGGACTTCCACTTCATCCTCTCCTTCGCCATCGACTACGCCGCCGCCGACGCCGCCAACGCCTCCGCGGCGCCCCCCGTGCCCACCGACGGCCGCTTCGCCGTCTTCTGGGACGAGGCGCACCTCACCCCGGCCGCCGTGTCCGCCCTCAAGTGCCCCTCCTCCTCCTCCTCCCCCAACACCCGCGTCGCGCTCAGCCTCGGCGGCGACACCGTGTTCGGCTACAACGCCACGTTCCGCGCGTCCTCGGTGGACGCCTGGGTGGACAACGCCGTCGCCTCCCTCACGGCCATCATCACCCGGTACGGCATCGACGGCGTCGACATCGACTACGAGCACTTCGGGGAGCGCGAGACGCCGGAGGTCTTCGCGGAGTGCGTCGGCCGCCTCGTGCGCGCGCTCAAGTCCGCCGGCGTCATCTCCGTCGCGTCCATCGCGCCCTTCGCCAACCCGGACGTGCAGGCGCACTACGGCGAGCTGTGGCGCCGCTACGGCCGCGACTTCGACTACGTCAACTTCCAGTTCTACGCGTACCCGTCCAACACCACGGTGCCGGAATTCCTGGGCTACTACTACGAGCAGAGCGGCCGGTACGCCGGCGCCGGCGGCGGGGGCAAAGTGCTCGTCAGTTTCGGGACCGACCCGGCCAGCAACGGGCTGCGGCCCGGGAAGGGGTTCTTCAGGGCGTGCCGGGAGCTGCGCCGCCAGGGGAGGCTGCACGGCATCTTCGTCTGGGCCGCGGACAACTCCGTCGCCGACGGGTTCCGCTACGAGCGCCTAGCGCAGAGGTTCCTCGCCGGCGCCGCCCCGGGTTTCCCGTGACGAATGCATGCGTTGAGCTGTTTCTGAGTGGCAGATTCCCCGTGTTTCCATTCCGTATTTCCATTCCATGTGTATGTTTCGTCGTGTTTTGTCGCGTCCATATGATTTTTATTGATCAATTGATTGATTATATTATTTGTGCGCATCCAAACAAACAAAGACATGCTCTCTGAGGACCCAATTTTTTTGATGCATTTCTTTTCCTCACCCCGCATGGTATTTCTGGTTTAAACATTGACACAACGACACTTTACTTTTATTATTGAGAACACTAAGGCCAGTTCTGGCCTTACCTGAATTACATGTATGTACTAATATTTCTATAGCAAAAAAAACTGACATGCCACTATATTCAATTAAGAAAGAGAGTAGAAAAGTGAAAGTGCTTTTGATTTGGGGCAGTGCTATCTGGTGGGACGCTACCCATCAAAGTGCAAACCCTGATGTGACACCTTTTTCTGCGTGCATGTTTGATGGTACTACACACTTTCCGCAGAGAGCAGAAAAGGAAGAAATTGTTTATCACCTTAGAAATGATTCTGACCTGCAAACCAACAATACACAACACCGAGGATTCAGTGTTGGGGCATCGGCGCCTATCGATGTTTTTCGGCCCTGGTGGGAGTGGGACTCACCTGTTGTGTTTTAACATAGACCTTTACTGGAAAATATCTCGCGCGTTGCTGCAGGGATCGCGAAGAATTCGAAATAAAAAGGATTACCTTTATAAGAGATATAGATTAAATACATCGAGATGATAGTGGAGCACCAACTAATAATGAACAAAAAGAAATAATATATGAATGTTTACGAAAGTGGTAAACAAGAGCAGGTCAGGTTACGAAAGAAAGGTTATGGAAGAGTACAGATACAACATAGATAAACTACTTAGACAGCGAGCAGTGTCCAAGAAAGATGCAGCAAGGCAATTCTGTTCCTAATAAGCACCAAACAAAGAACAGAAAAATGAAGCCACACCTTAATTAATATCTTCCCATGCGGCAACTCATTTAAGTTGACAGAAGAGAACTGGATAACTTCCAAAAAAAAAAATCTGCAGAGAAAAGCAAAGACACAAGCAGCAGAGCACATCACAACAGAGGGGACGAGAAGAGGCTTAACCGTCCAGGCATCTAGGAGTCCATGGCTGCTCCTTTTCCTTGGTGGACTAGGCTGTTGGGCTAATTCTTTCTTAGTGGGCTTGAAACTTGACAAGAGGTTGGGCTGATTGAAGAGACCTCAATGGGCTGAGTGGGGTACTAATGGTGAAAACATGGGCTATATCACTGATTTCTGAAAGTTGAGTGACGGTCTGGGCCCTCACGGGGCCCTCTTTGGTCCGCCCCTGATCGGTAGCGTTATACGAGTCTATATACCTAATATTATCTATAACTATATCTATACCGAATATTAAAGTTTGTAAAATTTCTCTCCTATTTTTTTTTCGGTCCGGCCCTCCTCTAACTAACTTTGTGAATTATGTTGGTCTATCTATGGCCTCATGTTTTTTTATATAACAATATGCACGGCTTAGACACAAATTAGGAATCCTAATTAAATAGATCCTTTTGATCCTAATCCTAATCCAAATAATAAAAAATAAAATAGAAATTAGGCAAACCTTATCTTACTCTAATCTTACCTCTTATACCACGGGAAGTTTGTCGGATTCGGTTCTATTTTATTTTCCTTTTCCTTTTCCTTTTCCTTTTGTCTTCTGTCCAGTTTTTATTTAATTTTCACGAGAGCAGGGAAGAGTTACAGGCTGTTTTTGTTCCCTCTTGGTCTCTATCAACAGAGTCCGTTTCATATAACTCTTTTTTTCACACGTTGCAACGCACGATCATATTTGCTAGTTCTAATAATAAAAATTGAGGTGTTTCTAAAAAAAAAAAAGAGGCAGCGAGCAGAACTTGATAAAGGAACCATGCACACACGCACCACCATTCAGTGGCGGAGGGAGGGGCTGAGGTGGCCACTGGCTAGCGAGGCAGCGATGGCGACGGCTCTGCGACTCTGCACCGAGCCAAGCCTGGAACTGCAATTGACGAGGCGTCGAGGAGGGCGAACGGCGGCGCAGAACTGCTCGACTTCCACTAATCCAATTGAACTTGGGCTTCTCTATTGCTACTATAAGGCCCAGGCGTGGCCCAAACCAAAGCCAGGAAAACGCAGCGGCAGCTGCCGATCCGCCCCTGATTAGTAGTTGTGATCATCATCGATATGATCAAGAAATGAAATGGTAGCTTTGTCACTCAGGTGTTACGAGCGGATCTGTCATATCTTGAGGTCAAAGTTATGATTGGTTTGTTTCACGCACGGCGTGCTGGCGCTGCATCTGGACATCTGATTTGGAAAATTGCAAGGACGATCAGGCTGACTTGTTTGCTAGCTATGCTAGGTTGCACCGATACGCGGGATACTGATATGCCGATACTACAGATATAACGATACGGTGACACGGTATTTTCCAAAAACAAGGATACGCCGATATGACAAGTATATAAATACCCAAAATCTGAATACATCTACTCATAACATTTTTCACTCTAGCAGAACAATCAACAAACAAAAATGGCAAAAAAAAAAAAAGACACAGAGGTAGGTAATCTGATAATGCATAAAAGATAGCATAATACTTGGTCTTACCAAATAAAAAAGATTAAGGCTTCAATGATTAGAGACAGATAGCAAGTGCCATGAAGCATCTAAGACAATATAATACTTGGTTTTAAGGTTCTTATACAACACAATAATAAATATTACGGTTGTGCAAACGAGTCACCAAACTGGACGGGTAAAATGATGGCCGTCAATTTGGAGGGTTATGGGTTGCGAAGTATAAGATTACGAAAAGACTAGCGCCTGGACATCCACGCTTACTGCCCGCCCACGCGCTTGATGCGCTCCCTCTGCAAGCGGCAGCCCTTGATGCATGCGGCCAACGGAAGGGACGCGTGCAGCGCGCCTCAGCCTCCCACTTTGCCTAGGTGGATCCACAGTGCATGCATGCAGCTCCTGCCTGCTGACGCATATGTCCGCGCGCTGTTGCTACCGCGCCTGCCGCCCTGGTCCCGCCTGCTGCTGCGGTACGCATGTGCCTGCGCATGCATGTGGGGGTCGCCACGTACGCTTCGCTTCCCGAGTGCACGCGGGGACCGCTGCGCCCGAGGGGACCACCTCCATCTACGCCCACTACCCGTGCTTGGTCATGCAACACTCGCAACATAAATCATTTGCTGCAACATACATCTGAAACAAATGAAACATTTACAAACATACGCTTTGCAACATATGTGTATGACCACCGCAACATATACAACATCCAGATAAACACATTTACAATATACGTTTGAAACAACTGAAATATTTGAAACATACACTTGCAACATACGTGTATAGCCAGTGCAATATATGCAAGATCTAGATAAAACACTTGCGACGTATGTTTGAAACAAGTGAAACATTTGAAACATACACTACTTGTAACATACGTGTATAGCCATTGCAACAGATGCAATATCCAGATAAAACACTTGCAACATACGTTTAAAACAGCTGAAATGTTTGTAACATACACTTGCAACATACGTGTATAAGCATTGCAACATATACAATATCCAAATAAAACACATTCAACATCTGGATGAGACATACATCTGAAAACGCATGAAACATATGGAGCTAGATGCCATGGAGTGACATGAAAATTTGGGCCATCACTCAACTGCCATGCAGATGTGGGCCCGCGCTACTCTCACAAACAGGCAAGCGGTCTAGCCAGCCCTGCAACTAGCTAAACGCCTAAGCTGGTCAACCAAAGCATCAACGCAGCAGGCAGCATGCGGTAAGCTTGGCCTGGGCGCAGACAACACACACAGAGAGAAAAGAGCTGCATGGCAAGCAGTAGCAGGCCTAGGCGCTAGGCAGCGGGCAGCAGGCACGGCAAGGAGGCCTGCGGCACTGGGCGCGTGCGGCTAGGGGCCTGGCCGGCTGGTCCATCCAGCAGCGGACACAGCAGGCAACCAGTCCTCCCTTTGTTGTCACGCGCATGCACGGCCCTCACGCACCGCATGCACCCCGAACGAGTGGCCGCACACGCTCCCATGCGCTTCCGCACAAAGGACAGGCGCGGACCGCGTCGGACTGTAACTATGCGGCCCTTTTTTTATTGGGCATAACATGCGCGCGGGGTCAGTCCATCCGTGTGTCCGAACACTCTCAACCAAGCATTACCGATCAGATAAGTATAAGTATCAGGCAAGTATCAACGAAGTATCGAGATTTAATTTATTTATTTTTATTGGTGATATTATCTGATAGTTCTTCGATACGGTATCGGAGGCAGTATCGTAGTATCAGAGTATCCGATACGTATATGCAACTTCGGCGAAGCATCGGGGTATACACGATGGATCTTGAAATCAAATCCTGAGGTCGTGCAAGCAACGACGCACTGCAATAATTCTCCAAATATGATGCTGGGAAGGGATAGTTCATGCCTGGGGGCGTTGATACATCATCACTAGCTGCATACGATCCCGGTCGCTGCCCTATATATGGGTACTACTCTAAGCACTTGCTCTCCATCCACAGACCACAGGCACTGCCACCATACCAGCTCTTTCTTCGATTGCTCATCAGCTCCGTCTACGACGACATACGGCATCCACCATTAGTTAACTGTCATGGCTTCAGCTGGTGGTGTCGCCGCTTCAAAGGCGGTCGTCGTCGTCGCAGCCGTCCTGTGCGTCCTTCGCCCGGCCGTGGCGGCGACGGAGGAAGAGTGCAACAGTATCTGCAAAGCCGACCAATCAGTTTACGAGGAATGCGCCGACGTGTGCAATCCGCCGCCGCCGCCTTTGGATTCTCTATTATCTGCCGCACTCGCAGGTTTCGTAGAGAGAAGAAAGCAGGCATGTGCAGAATGCAAATCCCTCGCCGTGGTTGGGTGCATCAAGGACTGCGATCCAAGTGATGCGGTGCATCGTCAAGGACAC